AAGCAGTACTTGGCATATTGAAAAAGACCTATCATAAATTATTTAAATAGAAGCGATAGAGTAGATTCTAAAATCCTTTTCTTCTTTGAATCAAAAGTATATGCAAGTAAGACCACAACTATTTTTATCATAGATGAGATAAATTGAAATGATTCACATAATAAAACTGGACTTCCAAACAATAAGCGATACCAGAAACTCGAAGTAGAAGTATAGATTTAGACGGATAAGAGAGATATCAGGTGTGGGTCGGATCGTTATCCTACAAACGATATTAACCTTGACTTGCCCTGTTAAAATATCCCACATACATTTTCCTTTCACTGCGTATTATTGTTTTAATTTTAAATACTAATTGGAAGACTTCCTAGAATCTTAGTTAAGGCCCCACTGTTTGTTCTTTCTATTAAAACTAATTTACATATTTTCAATTAATTCAATAATGGACTTTCTAGTATAATATAATATTCCCTTAGTATCTCAGAATTACGCATAATTTTACGATATTTTTATTTGCTTCCACTGTCATAAAGTAGTGAACGGCCGTGAACTTGAACCACATTTAATTTAAAGCCATAAGCGCTAAATGTAAGACGTGCAGAAATTTCCTTACCCACTCAATTGAAAAATTTATAAACAAATTTTCAAGTAGAAGACAAAAACAAAGAATATTAATGTATCTCATAGATACGTAGTTGTAACTTAAATTGAAAGGCGATAATTACGACATGAACATCAATAACCACCATTGGAATAACTTTACAGTTAAGCAAAAGTCAATAACCCGGAAACACAAGGGTGTGTATAATTCATTGGAAGTTCTTTACTGAAACCTGACAAGTGGCTTTTGCTTTAAAATAATTTTAAACTTCACGAAGAAAATATAAAGAAGAAGGAAAGTATTTTTACTAGAAATTTTATTTCTTAAACATTTTATCACAATAAAATTTATAGATCGTCCAACTGAACCGGTACATTTCGCAATTACCATATACCAGTGGCTGTGTATGTGAGTGGAGATGAGGCAGCATAAGTGGCAACTGGAGCAGCAGCGTAAGTCAATGGTGAAACAGCAGAATAAGTAGAGTGTACTACGGGACCAGAAACAGCATGTACGACTGGAGCAGCAGCAACAGAGTGGACGACTGGAGCAGCAGCAACTGAGTGTACGACTGGAGCAGCAGCAACTGAGTGTACGACTGGAGCAGCGGCAACGGAGTGTACAACCGGAGCAGCGGCAACGGAGTGTACAACAGGAGCAGCAGCAACGGAGTGAACGACTGGAGCAGCAGCAACTGAGTGTACAACAGGCTCAGCAGCTACAGTTTTTACAACAGGAGCAGCAGCAACGGTGTGCACAACTGGTGCAGCAGCCACAGTGGTTTTCACAACAGGAGCAACAACATCTTCAACGACATGTGCGGAGCTGTGTACAATTGTTTGACTTTGATGAGAGACAGCAGTTGGAATGCTCTTTACAACAGCACCAACTTTAGCCAAAGCAGGTTCGTGTACGGCAATAGCTGCTGGTGCAGAGTAAACTACTGGTGACTCTACGAGACCGGGACGAGCAGCAGCTACGGCGAGCAAAGCAGACAATACCACCTGAAAATAAATGAAAAAATAACTTTGTTAAATTTTGTAATACAGTATTTCTTCATCTGCAAGAAAATTTTATGTATTTTTTTTTTTAATCCTTTTAAGACCAGTAGCACTTAATACTTACCAACTTGAACATTTTATTTGATTGTTATGTTTTTTGTAGGTCTGTATTGACTGAGAATGTCTAAGAACTGATGTTTTTAGCCAGTTCAATCTGTGCTTTTATACCAAATTGTCAAAAATCGATTTTAAATCAATTTCTTGTCATTTCCTCTGTCCAATGATCATAATTCTGCAATTGATATAAACCGGCCTTCTTGGCAAATTTACCTAAACAGTGACAAATAATCAATTATCAATTATAACTGAGCTCACTTGTAGGTGTTGTCAATTCGATTTGAATGACAGATTTCAAACCAGTAAAAATCTCAAAAATCTATACTATTTTTGTCGCAAAAGATTTTACGCAAAACAAGTTTGCAATTAAGCCCAAAATTAAAAATTAATTTTGATTGTATATTTGTTATAACAAAATTAATATTTCATTTTTAATGAAACACTTAGGCCCATAATATTTTGTATCTTTTTTAAATTAACACAATAATTTTTTAAAACCCTTCTCTCATTAAAGTTGTTAACCACACAATCATTAAGCGTTTTCGGCCTATACATGCCCTTTCATGCTGCTCTTGCTTCAATTACATTAAAGTAATTAACTTCATCTTTAATGCACACAATTAATGCATTACTTGCATTACCTCGGCCCGGCTAATATTCATCAAGTATCTACGCTTAAGTATCTGTGCATATGAAAATCTTTCATGGTCAAACGCACAAATAACCCATGTTTTGTAGTATTTTCGGCTACTGTTGGTAAACATTACTGACTTTTATTGTTCGCTTGAAAATAAAAAAAACATTTAACTTTATGCAGTTCAGCTTAAAATCATTGAATTCAATATCATAAAAAAAACTAATGTTAAGTACATATGTTGGGCTATAAGTCAGGTCAAAATTTTTATTTAATTTTTATATAAAAGCAGCAACTTGAGTTAGTTTTGATATCAGTTAATTTTCTGCATTCTTACATTCAACACAGACCCACAAAAACAAATCCAAAACAAAATGTTCAAGTTGGTAAGTTTCACAAACAAACAAAAAAGCTCAGAACTTCTTCACATCAAACATTGGCATAACAAACATTTACTTTTCAGGTGGTGTTGTCTGCTCTCCTAGCCGTAGCTGCTGCTCGTCCTGGTCTTATCGAATCCCCCGTAGTCTACAGTGCGCCTGCAACCACAATTGTGCACGAGCCTGCCTACGCTAAAGTTGGTGCTGTTGTGAAGAGCATTCCAACTGCTGTCTCACATCAAAGTCAATCAGTGGTTCATAGCTCTGCACATGTTGTGGAAGATATAGTCGCACCAGTTGTCAAGACCGTTTATACTGCACCCGTTGTGAAGACAATTGCTGCTGCTCCCGTATTGCACACAAATTATATTGCTTCGCCAGTACTTAAAACCTATGCAGCACCAGTTGTACATTCCGTTCATTCTCCAGTATTGAAAACCATTGCTTCCCCTGTGGTCTACAATGCCTGGTAAAGTAGACTGGTAGTATAAAATGACGAGTTGTTGGACGGTTCCAAATGTGATAAAAAAAATAAAATTCAAAATTTCTTTTAAAGACAAAGATTTATTTATTTATGTTAATTAATTATTTATGTCAATTAATATTAAGTTATTTAAAGAGATAATTAGTTCCTGATAATACGACCTCAAGGACTCTTTTAAATCGCTCCGTACTGGGATATGCTTTCTAGTTCTACTTCTTCTTCTTATGTTTTACAAGATCTTGTGATCGGTATGACAAAATGATCGGTATTTTATGTAGTTATTTGGTCGTTTAAAAATATGCCCAATATCCAGTTTAAAAACATCCATTTCCATATCTTCCATTTTATTATAATTTCTGTATATAAAAAAGAATGAGGTAGTTTTTCAGCATTTTTTGTTTTTTTCCAATTGGTAAAAGACACCAAAATACATACAAAATTCAGCGACTTCTGTGGCTTGCTTATATCGTGCAAATGGAAGAAAGTGTTCCAGCTAGAAAGGTGTTTGATTCAGTACCTGTAGGTAGAAAACACTGTAGAGGACGTCCGCATCTTCGGTGGAAGAATCAGGGTTAACCAACGATAGGGCTTGCTGGCGATTGCTATTCTACGCGGTCAAGGACGACTCTCGTCTGTAATGACCAACTAGGAAGAGGAAAATACACCGAAATCTCTTATCTCTGAATGAGGTTTTAGGCTGCTAACAATACTTGCTAAGAATTAAGAATTCAATATAGTAATAATTCAAACAGTATTTTATTTAATTTTTTTTTTTCCAGCACGATTCATTTAAACTTCTCTCTATTAGGTGTTTCTGTACTTCTGCTTATTTTTTATTTTGTTTCTAAAAATCTGCAAAGTTTAACCTATATAACACCATAGGTATATGCTTGCTTGCACGTTCTAGGACAAAGTAAACCTATTTTATACTTAGTCAATTACTAAAAGTGCAGCAAATTTTTCTTCTAATGTATGATTTTATTATAATATGATTTCTGTATATGAAATATATTTAGATTTTCAATCAGTTATATTTTCCAAAACATCGAACGCACTAAAATCTCTGGATGGGACTAATGTCCAATAATAGCAGTTACTGTAACGACAAAAATCTTATAGTTGAATAAAATTAGTATTGAGCAAGCCGATATTTCCTTAAGTACTCGTAGTACAGCAAGGTTTATGTAATGGAAATTATGGAAGGGTGTGAAGAGAGAAAAATGAAGTTAGGTGTAACTTAAGAGCAAACTTTTTGACTGGACTTAAAAACGCTTAGTATAATAATAAGTTGAAGTTGATTAGAAATATATATAAATTACTTGCTTAAGTGATATGGAAATACTAACTCTAACTCTTAGGGAGTTATTTTATGGGTTCTTACGATCTACGAGTAATATATAATATATATATATAAGTTCTACTGGCAAAGGATCGGATTTAATTACGGATTACATTGAGAAAATATGGATTAAAGGAAGGTGAATTAACTGTTTATAATAAAGTATTTAACTTATATATTTATTATGGTTATTTGGAGAATATTTAGCTGTACACGTTTAAATTCTGCTCTTAAAGAACAGAATTATTGCATCTTATTGAAGCTAATTATGGAATAGATTAAAAAAATATAGATAAAAAAGAGAGATTAACTGTTTATAGTAAAGTATTTAAAATAAATACGTAATTGATTGCGCTTACGAGGAAAATATTTAGCGCTACATGTCTGAATTCTGCTCTTATAGGACCGGATGTTACATTTTAGTTAGGTAAACATAGCATTTAAGTTATACATTTAACTTATAACGTTTGTGAGGAAAAATTTAGCTATACTTTAGCTATATAAATGGAATGGTTTTCCAAGATAAGATAAAAACTTGTGTTTCGAAAAAAACATAACCCATAACGTATCTGCGCTTGAATAGCAGCATTGCAAATATGGGTATATAATTTAGTGGTACTCTGGAGTTGAACTTTTAGAGCTACTTAACACATCTTAAACCGTAAAGACAATGATAGTAATTTTGAAAGAGTTGAACTTGCTTTGCTATGTTCTGTGCTACGTAAACAGGAACGTAACAGTTCCAGTTACTGTAACATAATAGTTAATGAAACTATTAATTCAAAGCTCTTCTTTACATTTTATTATATTTAACTGTGTAAAAATTTATTGACATTACTTAGCACTAAGTCTCAGTTTCAGTAACGGATAAGCCTTAACTACAGTAACGAAGTATGGAAACGAAATTTCATGGTGAACACGCAAAATGCGTGAACCTGAACTTGAACCAAATAATGGTTGCGGACATGAACTGCCAATAAGACAAATGCGTGCGAACAACAATTTTTGCACAGCAAACATGGAACCAAGACAAATCGACGACGTTGTAATGTCGTTTACGTATTCACGGTCAAAATTTTGTAATAGAAAATTGCCATATCGCTACACTAAAGACAAAAAAAAGAAATAATAAAATCGAAATGAAATAAAGTAAAACTGACCACGCAATGGTCGCGATTTTAGTTGCCGACTTCATATGAATGAGCGGAGTCAGCCTGTAATAAAATTGCCTCAACGACCCACAATGCTGGTAACATGTTAACACAGTTAACAGCAACGGCGAAGCAAAGCCCGGCTTACTGCCTGCTTATAATGGGCTGTGCCAAGTCAACAACAGACACAGCAATAGACCAGCAACAATAATAACAGAGACTCGTGGAAGCATTAGTGCACTTTTATGAGATTTTCAGAGTAATTGCATGAGTTTTATGTGTGTTGGGCGGTTTTCTTGTTTTGAGGTGTTGTGTATAGTCCATTGGCTGTTGTTGTTGGAAAATTGAAAACGAAAGTGATTTTACATGCCGGCAACAACAGCAGCAACAACAGCAGCAACAACAACAATAAAGCAGTACTCAGCTTAGTCAACTTTGAGCCCCAGTTCAGTTTATATTTCGGTCAAAAAATATGTCGGTGTTTTTCTTCAAACGATTTTTATTTGTTTTTATTCTGTTAAGTTTTGCATTAATTTTTTTTCTAGTTTCAGTTTTTGTAGTTGGAGTTTAACAGTTTAGTTTAGTATAAAAGACGCTGCAGTATTGCAATAAAGCAAACAGTTTTCTTTGTGATTCAAACAGCACAGACCTTCTTAACTTAAAACTAAAAACCAAATTAACTACAAAATGTTTAAGTTGGTAAGTTCACTGTGTTTTACATATACTAGAATCCTTTAATTGTAAGAGTCCTTTATGTTTCATTTCTAGGTGGTGTTGTCTGCTTTGCTTGCCGTAGCTGCTGCTTATCCTGGTTACTTGGAACATGCTCCAGCACATGTAGTTGTTGCTCCTGCTACAACTATTGTACATGAACCCGCCTTGGCCAAAGTAGGTGCTATTGTTAAGAGCATACCCACCGCTGTATCACACCAAAGTCAATCTATTGTGCATAGCTCCGCTCATGTAGTCCAACCTATTGTTGCTCCAATTGTCAAAACTACTTTAGTTCAATCTGCACCTGTGATTAAGGCAATTGCCGCTCCAGCTTTAACAACTGCTTATGCTGGTCCAGCTTTATCGCTTCATGGTGGTTGGGGACATGGCGGTTGGGCTCATGGTGGTTGGGGTCACAGCGGTCATGGCTGGTAAATCGTTCATCCTAAGGCTTAAGCATGTTCTCTTTAACATGAAACTAGTGGTACAGGCAGTGGGGCGGTCATTTTTCTATTTTTTAAGTTGTAAATAATTTTCATCCCCACAAAAAAAATAGAAGTTTTTGGTTTATAAAAATCGCGACTGATAAAAAAAATTGTTCTTAAAAAAAATAAATTTTAATTTTTCAATGAAAATTTCAATTGTTTTAATTTTTTTTTAATTTTTATTTAAAGTATTATAAATAGCTGAGAATACAAAAATACAATTTGATTAGAGTAAACATTTATTAAAGGTTCCAAGAACGTTTGGGTCATCGTCCCGAAGCCGTATAAGTTTTGTAAATATGAAACTTTTTTGAAGAAAAGTCTCGTTTTTATGTCTTATTCATATAGCAAAACCTTTTAAAGTATTTACCTTAAAATGTTTGTAATAAAAGTCGTTTGTTATAGTTTTTTCTACATTAATTTTTTAATTATTTTAAATAATTAGACTCATTATATCTAAAAATAGTGGAAAAAATTTGCTTACGACCTGGAAACGACATGCTGCATTAGCAAGAAAACCGTCGAAATGGACTTGCTCAAAGGCATTCTACATTGTGACCGAAAAGCTTTCGGAAATTCTCATTTAAAATTCGCGCGCTGTATATTTTTCGATATTTTA